GAATGTCACCAGGTTCAAGGTTGACTCAGACTTCCATCCTTCCGAGGTGGGTAAAATGAGGATCCAGATTGTGGCTCTGACTCTGTAAACCACTTAGAGAGGTCTGTGATGCTCTGTGAAGTGGTATATAACCCTAAGTGCTATTGCTATAAGGTTTAATAGTTATCCTACACTTTTATAATAGGATCCATAAAGTCAAAGACATTTAGTGTTGATCCTTGTATTCAGTATAACTCAATGTGAATCTAGGCCACTGACTATTTCTCAAAGACATAAATGTCCAATCCTGGGTCTTACTACAATCAGTCTATTAGGAAGTCAACGTTGATGAGGGGTTTTTTTTCCCCTTCAATGTCTCAAAGGTCATGTTTTCTCACCTGTGTCCATTTAAAGACTGCTATCTGGTTTGCCTGCTCTCATTTCCTTGTAGACAAATTTGCCTCATCCTTCCATTCTTCACAGCTTTTTTTTTTAAGTTCATCCTTGGAGGGGGAAAACCTGTTTTCGGTTGTTTGTTTTTGTTGTTTTTTAACAAGTTAGTGATAGAGCAAGAAAACATATTTGTTCTCACTGAGATAACAGGAAAGGGTGAACCTCTCTTGTCTTGACTTTTTGATATTTTCATTGATAGAATAATGGGACCATGAAATGATGAGATGTCTTTTCTTCATTTTAGTCATGGAAAGTGGTTCTGCCACTTTCCCCTTCTAGATCAAGTGACAAGAAAAAGGATAAAACCAGGGCATTTTCTGGATAGTTAAAGGCTAGGTCAAAAAATATACCCCAACACTACAAAACCTTTTAATTGCAGTAAAAGAGAATATAAAAGTTATAAAAACTGTTGCAAATTTCTCTCTACTCCATTTGATATTAAATAAAATCAAGGTGGGATTATTTTTAGGTTCTTTCTCATGCTGATTTCTTTTAAGCTGGCTTCATTTCCAGCTGGTTTAAACATTGCAGTCGAGGAACATAGGGCTTAGCTAATGACAAGGTCTTAGTTAAAACTTTCATTTGATGGTACAAAAGGATAAACTGAGACAGTTCGTCCTTCGTTTCAAGCTTCTTGGAATGATTTCTGCTTTAGAAAAACCTTTCAGTATAATAAAGCTAGGAATCCTGATTTGGCAAGCTGAGCTGAATATCTTTTATCAAAATAAGAGTACTGGTTTCAGATAAACAAACTTTTTGATTAGTATGCCAATATGTTCCGGAGTTCTAACATTCTGTAACTTTTGTAGTGCGAGGGGGGGTAATAGTTATCTGCTGGGAAAATTACTTTCAAGCTTCAGTGATAATTAGATATTTCTTAATGTCAAATGTTATTTTTAATAGCAGTATAATTTCATACAAAGTATTTAAAGCCAGGGGTTGCCCAAGAGATTTTGCTGCTTGAAATACCAACTTAAATCATGGTGCAGAGTGTTCTAAAGGAATGTGGCATATGGAACAGAAAAATCACAACGCATCTTTCTCAATCTCCAATGGCAATAATTTGTTGGCCTTTCATTTTACTGGTTATCTAAGGCAGCAATTTTACATTACTTAATGGGAGGATTAGTAGTGACTAAAGGAAATAGACATATTTTAGGAAACTGATTGAAATGGCATGGAAAAATATGGAAGAGCCACAGCATCTTGAGTGCATGCGCATGCACATGAATATACATGCATGTGCATGCACACATTACATGGGTAGAGTCTACTGACTACAAAATTCCATTTCAGCCCATTCATTGACTTGGAAAATAATCAAACCTTCCAACCAACCTTGGGTTTGAACCAGGAAATTATATCTTCAACTTGAGAGAAAATTCAAGTCTTAACTCAGAAATCATAATCTTTCTTTGATTGTAATTGGAAAGAAATAACAGTATCTTCATTTTTTTCATACAAGAGGATGAATTATAGTTAATTTTAGGGGATGATGTATGATAACCTTTAAGTTCAAAACATTGTTACATACATTTTAAAACCATAATTGCTGACAATCACGTCTTTATTTCTTGTTGGAATGAGATAAAATGTTTAACATTTCCCACATTGAGACAATGACACTTATTAGATTTAAAACAAACCTTGATTTTTGGTCAGGACCAACCAAATATATACATATTATAGCTGTTGAATAAGGAACTTGCATCTTTTGAGAAGAATAGCAGCAGTAAGAGAAATCATTTGGGAGGGGAAGGAATAAAATGATTTAGTTCCCTGTCCAATGTGCATGTGTAAGTTGCAGGTTCTGAGCAATTTGAAAATATTCAGGATATTTGATATAGTAAGTTAGTTGTGATAAATTACAATTCAAACCTTCAAAATGTCTCTAGTGTTGGCAAGGGAAATCGCTTTAGGTAGAATGTTCTGGAAAATTAAATGGCGGAAGCCTGGGAACATCCAGCATTTTTCTCGCCCTGGATCTTCCCATGGATTCCAATACAATTAATCCTGGATGAGGAAATTTGGAAGCAGAATGGAATTTTGGATTAAACCTTCACAAAACTGACAGTGATCAGAAATAGACATTATCCTGGATATAGACTTCTTGAAAGTAGAACGTAACTTGTGGGATGATGGACCTACCTAGAACAATGCAAAGGATAAAACTACAAAAGGATGAGAAAAAAAACAGCAAATATTATCTTCTTCTCCTTCTCCAAATTTTATCCAAGCTTACTTTTTATTTCTTGTTTTGGTTTTATGACAATATTAAGAGCTTATATTCAAAGTCTTCAACTAATGAACACAGTCTGCTGGCCAAATGCAACATATTCACAATATTTCTCAAGCGGCGTATAAATCCATGGCAGTATTTTATGTAAATTATATATTTGTTAAAATTATTTTGGAATCATTTGCCTTAATGGGAAAATCCAATAACGTTACTTGTGTTTTAACATTCACCATTATGTTTTATACTTTTATATATTGTTTTTTTACTTTTGGGAAACAAACAAAAAAGTAAGCACATTTCCTCTTCTATTTGTTTTTGATTCATTCCTTCATTCTTTATGGGTGGGTGTTGTAATAACTTGTGTCTATGAAAATCAAATGTAATAATGTTTTCCTATTTGGGGTTTATCCAAAAAAGAATTTTTACAATGTGTTTTTAACAGGGTATCTTTTGACAGATACTTGGCATTGCTTGTTTTGATGGGATATTCTTGGCAATTGTGGAGGTGAAAAAGTTCATTTTAAGTGAGCTGTTTGCTGCATTTACAGATCATGATTTTAGAAGGAACTGGCAGAATGAGTCTTAATACCGTCACAAGTCTTCTTCATGAACAATCGACCTGGGCAGAGGGATATCCCACATGTCATGGTAGGAAGTATTCACCAGTGGTGTTCTATGAATAGGTTTGAGCACTATACATCTTTCTCTTGTCCTTGTGCTATTTGCAAAGCATGCTTTTTATTTTGATAAAGTGAAACTCATTATATGATTGCAATCTTATGTTATCAACACGGAATACAGTACAATTACTGTAAACTAAAATTTTGGTGAATGCAATTATTTCTCCATTCTTCCATTTTTTTCCATTTAAAGTATTAAAACAAAAGAGTAACTTACTTTCTGCAAAGTGTAATACTATCAGTAGCATCTACCAGGCAACTCCACCCAAATAGACAACACATTCTAATCTAAGTTTGAAATCTGGAAAGCACATCATTTCAACTTGAAATTCTCGATCCCAATTCTTGCTGTGCTGAGCTAAGGTTAACTGCTTCTCATCGGCAATGAAACTAACATTATCACCGATGGCCAGAAGTAATTCTGGGTGAGGTAGAAACCTTTTCATTTGGCACTTGACTGAAGTACCCATTAAACTTGACTTTAAATAAATTATATTCATATAACTAGGTCATCAAAATGTTTTTCTCATTACTGAATTTAAAACAACTCCTTATTTCTGAATATGGAAATAGAGTAATGGAGATGTTCTGAGTCCATAAAGGTGATATAATTTAAATCACTAAAATATGGTTCCTTAAATCATACAAAAAACCATTTAGGATTTAATTTGTAGCAACTACAGTTTTAAAACTTGATATTTCTTTAAGGGAATCCTATTCCATATTTTTATTTTAATGTTGGCTGCTACTGCTATCAAGTCAATAAATATCAATTCAACATTTACTGTAAAAAAATTTCATGGATTTCCTACCAAATAACTAGAATTTTTGTTTCATAAATTCTTTACAATTCACTTTGAGTTGTATATAAGGAACATAGTTTGCCTTGGAGTAAATAGATAATTGTAAACCCCAAGATTATAATTCTGTATGCTGATGCACATGCTGACTTCACTTTGCCCATCAACTGCATTCTTTTAAAAATAGGAATAAAATATATCATAGTCATAACTAATTTTCTAAATGAACTCTTAATGAGATTATTGTAATGTGCTCTATATGAGCCTGCTTTTTGAGGATGCTTCCAAATTATAATTACTTCTGAATTCATATCCATATTCAATATCATTAAATATTACCTGGATTGGTGTTAGACTGCATGAGTTTCTGATTTTTATATCATGTAATTGGTTTCATTTGTTTTTGGGAAACTCAAATTACTAATCTGAACATAGTCTGGATAAAGACTATTTAACTATTCATATCTGATATTTTTTTGTTGAAGGTTCTGCTATGGGTTTTCCATTGAGTATATAAAAATAGTCTAATCCTCTTCATTGGTGTCAATGAAGTTTCCTCCCCTCCCCCCCAAAAAAACTTATTTTTCTATTCTGTTATAGAATTTAGCTGCTGTTTGGACGGGTAGAAACCAAAGTTCTAGATTTACATTTTAATTCCTAAAGATGTTTGCTTTTATTGACTCTGCTTTCTGCTGCTTAATTTATTATATCACCTTTTCATCAATGATTATTTTCATTATTTATCATTGTCGGTACTATGGGTTTTTAAGTGTTGAGGATTTTTCAATAATTTAATACGTAAATAAAAATGAAGCGTTCTTCACTTTCACCAATATTATTCATGGATAGTGAATTGTTTTCTTTAGTGATTACTACATCTTTTCCTGCAGCAGCATCGAGCAGTTTCTTTGGAACACAGTGGCATGAAATCCATCCTCAGTATTGGACAAAGTATCAGGTCTGGGAATGGCTCCAACATCTTTTGGACACCAACCAGCTTGATGCCAACTGTATCCCATTCCAGGAATTTGACATCAGTGGGGATCATCTGTGTAGCATGACTTTGCAAGATTTCACCCGGGCAGCTGGTTCTGCTGGACAACTTCTTTACAGCAACCTCCATCATCTAAAGTGGAATGGTAAAACCTTTCACTAAAATATATGTTGCCTTTCCCAACTTCTAAGCATTAGTTATTATTCTACTAATAGACAATGATTCTGGTCAAATTTAGGAAACAGGATCAATAATAAAAGATAATGCAAATTGATTTAGTAATGAATAGAGGCTTAAGGATGGGAAAACAAGATTTAGACACAATATATAACGTTTTGTTCAAAATGTATTCCTTGCATTCAGAAATCATTAAGAGGTAAAAGGAAAGAAAAAAATTTATAATAAATATCCTGCTCAACTCATTTGTTACTGAACAATTTTGAATCTACTATATAAAAACTTGATCTAAAAATTTGAACATTATCTTCTATGTATGGTGAAATAGAAATAATATTTCTGGTGGCTTCTCTTTCCTTTTGTGATCCTGAAGATACCTATTTCTTAATATGGCTGAAGATCAAAACAGTTTGTTCCAAAGCTTAACACAACAAATTAAGCATTGCTATGTAGCAGATCCAAGTCTGAGAGTCCTTATAGCCAACGTCTCTGAAAAATAATTTCCTTTCAGTAATTTACAACAAAATGTTCCCATAGCCCAATAGGAAGTTTTGAAAAATATCATACAGGACATTCAGTCAGCTTTCAGGATCAGATCTTTAAGCCGGATATATAATATTCTAATCACATAGTGTACAAACATGTTGGGATGAAAGTAAAAACCTATGTCAGTATATTTTCCTTAATTCAACTCCAGAGAGAATGGGACTGCAAGGTTTTTTTTAAAAAAATAGATTTAGTTCAGTGCAAAAATTTGGAATCCTGAAAACATAGGTACTCTCACAAAATGGCTTGCAATGCTTATTACAGCCACAAGCACTAAATAATATCTAAATAGGGCATTCAGAGGTCTTTACCTTATATTATCCCAACTCAACTTTTCCCCCTGGTTTTAGCAGTGTCCCAAGCATTCTTAGAAGCATATATTTAAGGTGAACTTTTTTAGAACTTAAAAATACTTTAATTTTTTTCCCAGTCAGGACAAGATTCTTGGCACACACTAAAGGCTGTCTGTAGTGCATTATTGACAGTGAACACTATGTTCTCATCAACATTATTGTTGATTAATACCAAAGTATTCCTTCCCTATATTAAAACTGTGCGGCTTCTTTGTTTCAGTCAATCTAATTCTTTAAATAATATTTAATAAGAAGAAAATCTGCTGGTATTGCTTGTGAATTGCTACTTCATATAATCAGAAGCAAGGCTAGCATAAGAATATCTTTTTTGTTGTTGTGCTGATATATTATTGATGTAGCTCTCAATGCCATTGCTTCCTATTGTTCATATAATCCAGATGTTCTGGGGATGAATGATTGAAATTCCACCTTTTTTTGTAATTGTATTGCATATTACATTCATTTCTGTCAGGTCAGTGTGGAACTGGAAGTGAAGTGTATCCATCACACAATGTCATTGTTAAAACAGAACAAACAGGTGAGTGATATCTACATTATTTCTGTTATGAACATNCAGGGGAAGGATACTGCAAAATCCCCATTCCCGCCCGATCAGCTGGGACTCGAGAGGCAGAGAATTGATGGGGGTGGAGTCAGGGGTGGTATTTACTGGTTCTCCGAACTATTCAAAATTTCTGCTACCGGTTCTCCAGAACTGATGAGAACCTGCTGAATACCACCTCTTGATCCAGTCCTTTCTATCAGATGAGAAAATATGTATCAATGGTGAGAGAAAACAGGCCTCTATAAATTTGTTGGTTTGAAGAATTTCCACAATGCTTTTGTTCCTCTGGATTTGGCTTTTTTTGATTACCTCGGAAACAGCTCTTTGCCAGGTCATTCTATGTCTTGATGTTATAAGTTTCCTTAATATGAAAGAAATCAAAGAGACAGGTAGTCCTTTTTTAGCAAGCAGAACTAGGATCGGCAACTTGATCATTAAGCTTCACTAATTGAAATTCTTTTTTTTCCTTTTGCTTTCCTTTGCCTTAAACACTAGCAAAGATCATAAGTATGAGAATTGGTTGTCAAGTTATTTTTTGATTATGACTCTAACTGTAAATGGTCACTAGCTGAGGACTACTTATATATACTGTTATAACAAATAACAAAAGATAATACAAAGGTTTGGAACTTTTGCTGAATTTCATTTTAATCTTGCCTGAGGGAATATTTTGTCTCCATTTTTCATAATATGAGAGCCTAAGTGAAACTGATTGGATTCCAAATTGAAAAAATAAAGTATTGTTTCACACAGCGATTTGATAAACAATAGTGTTAAATGTGCCTACCGTATTTTTCGAAGTATAAGATGCAACTTTTTTCCTCAAAAAAAGAGGCTGAAAATCTGGGTGCTGAATACAGCATTTTTTGCCTCCCGAAGCCCCGCCCTTCACCAAAATGGCTGTGCATAGCCTTATGGAGGCTTTCAGAGAGCTCTTGGGGGCTAAGGAGGCAGAGCTTCCAGGAGCACTCTGCAAGCCTCCATAAGGCTATGCATGCAATTTTATTGACAAAAAATGGACCAGTTTTTGCTCATTTGGTGGGGCACCCCCCCCCCAGGATAACTCTGCAAGACCTCCAAGGCTATGCCTTTTTTTAAAAAAAGGGCCCGTTTTCGCAAAAAATGGGTCGTTTTGGGGAGGTTTTCAGAATGCAAAAACCCTTTTCCCCCTTTTGGAAAGCTCTATAACTGATTGATGAGAATTACATTGATTAAGTGCTGTGCCAGCAGAAACGAAGTCTTGGGTGCTGCAGATTGTCAGCGATTTCCTTCTCCAGTACATGGATAAATACACCTGGAAACATCTACCTACCTACCTACTCTCCCTCCCTCCTTCCCTACCTACCTACCTAGCTACCTTCTCTCTCTCTCTCTCTCTCTCTCTCTCTCTCTCTCTCTCTCTCCCCCCTCTACCTACCTACCTACCTACCTACTCTCTCTCTCCCATACACTCCCACTGATTTAAATAGGAATAGGACTGTAGCCTAACTATGAGTGAACCCACAGCTCAATAATATAGTACATATTATTCAAGAGGAAGTTTTTAATTTTTTATAAAGAATATATGAATAGATGGCTTATGACTATTAGCAGTAATAGGACTAAAGTTGACATATGTAAATAATATGCAATGAAAATGTTGAATCTATTCAGCAGATTGTTAGAAAACTTTGAATTATTTAGCTGATTGTAGAAATGTTGTTGAGTTAATGTATCTAAATTTCAACAAAGTATATAACCCATGATATTCTATTTAGCAATTTAGCTAAGTGTAGTGTAGATCACATGACAATTACACAGGTAAATAGCTGGCTCAAATGTTTTACTCAAAGAATATTCATCAACTATTTCTCATAAAACCTAACCATAGTGTTTGATGCTAAGCCCTGTACTTTTTAATTATTTAGATGAAGAGATAGGGGGATTGCTTGTCAAATATGCCAATGACACAACATTGAATTATAATAGTTTTTTAAAAGTGCTGAAAATAAAAAAATAAATTAAACAGAGGCAAATGAAAACCCTTTCATTTAGGAAACAGAAATCAAATGATAATTTTAGGTACTTGGCTACCTACAGTAATTTGAGAATAAGATTTGTGGAAAAGGAATTGCTTACACATTATACATGATACTTGATAGGGCTGCCAAGAAAGGAAATATAAATTTATATCAACAGAAGTATAGTTTTCTAAATTATAGGAAATAATAGTTCTAATAGTTATTCTGCACACAGATCCTGTTGTGCTTTTTATGTTGATTTCTAGTCACCAATTTTAAGAAGGCAGAAACTTGGATATTTTTAACTTTCAGAAGAGAACTAAGAGTGACAACACTTCAAATACCCGAAAAGATGTTACACAAAAGAAAATTAAGAACATAGGATATGAAATAATAGGTTTAAGTTTCAGAAGGCACATTCTGATTGAATGCCAGAACCATTCAATTACCAAGAGTGGTCTCCCATTCATTACATATTGAATATATTCAGCTGGATTTAGATTTAATTTGAATTCCTGTACTAAGCAGGAAATTGAACTCTAGGTCTCTATGATTCTATGAAGTTTGGATGGGTTGTCATTGTGAGGACAGGGTTTCATCTTTTCAATGACTTACAGATATTTTCAATGTTGGCTGCTCTGTGATAGGGGCAATCGACTTATTCCTAATTGCTTTGAAAACTTTTACTGACATTAATGAAGACCATTTTGTTTTATGCTGCTTCCAATTGAGGCCTTGAGGACCGCATGGCAGAAGAATAGGACATGTTTTCAAGTACATTTGTTATATCATAATTTCTAGAACAGATTCAGATATGTAGAGGCAAGAACTGATTCCCTTTTTTTGTTGCAGAGGATTCTTCAGAAGGGAAGAAAATTTCACAAGATCACCCTCCAAAACCACACAATAAGAAACACAGTAAGACACCTATTCCTGGATTTCTATGCTATGAGGGGGATATTAAAGACTTATGGAATATATACTGAATGAAAATCTAAATTTTAATATCAGAGATATTAAATTAAATAGATAGAATAAGAACATTAGTGAAATAGGTTTTGAGATAAATGAATAAATTTCAGTTAAGAATATGAGCTCATTACATTAGCTAAGGTTTAAGTTCAGCTAGTTGTGCAGGAGGATTAAAAATGACAAGGTGGGGATTGTAATGCTGAGATCCAAACGCCGTATGTGTGTTGCCATTATGTGGACGTACAATGGGGTGGAACTGCAATTGCGATATCAGTTTCCTGCTTTGCTGCTTCCCATCCAACAAATTCCAATGAGTAACTCTAGAGTTTGGAACCAGCCTAAGAAAGTGTAGGGAGGACTTAAAAAAAAAAAAAGAAATATTAGGAATTCCTAAAATGTATACCCATCACCATTCGTTTTTCGGCACAAATAATGTTTCCTCTGAACATTATTTCATTATAGCTCCACGGGGAACTCACTTGTGGGAGTTCATCAGAGACATTCTCCTTCATCCAGAGAAGAATCCTGGGTTGATAAAATGGGAGGATCGGTCAGAAGGCATCTTCCGATTTTTAAAATCAGAGGCAGTGGCTCAGCTATGGGGAAAGAAGAAGAACAACAGTAGCATGACTTATGAGAAACTCAGCCGTGCCATGAGGTAACAAAGGGGAACATTTTGCTTAAAAAAATAACTACCTTTAATCTCAGTGCCAATGACAAGCAAACAGCCAGAGTATGCTGAAATCGCAGGGGAGTTTTTAAAATGTAAACTAGAGTGAAGCACAAGCTATTTTCCTATGGCATAATTTCCTCCTGATTTTTTTTTCCTGATCCAAAGATACTGGTTGAATTGATGTGGCAAGATGGGAATCCAAGATCCTTGCCCTCCCCACATCTGGAAAACCACATTATATAGCTAGAAAGACTGCCAAATTGTCTTCACATGAACACAGAGATTTTGTCAGTTATGAGAAAGTGTCAACTCCTTGACTAAACAATGACTCACCATTTGTCTTTAAATCCCACAAAAGTGGCATGTACGGACTCTGCAAGTCCTCCTGAATCATCAGAAACATTCATAGTTGCAATTTCTTCTCAATGTAATAATCTACTTATCATACTTCAATTATTAATCAATGATTTCCCCTTAATACAGGAATGGGATCAGCTTGTTGGTCAGGAACTTCCCAAAATTCCTTAGATAAAGAGAAACTTGCATAGCATCACATTCAAGGGATTTTGCATTCAGTGGGTGTAATTTGTAACTAGATTTTAGACACAGATGTTCTATAGAACTCTTTCAATCAATGGGATGTGTGTGTGTGTGTGTGTGTGTGTGTGTGTATATATGTGTATATATGTGTGTATGTATGTATGTATGTATGTATGTATGTATGTATGTATGTATGTATGTATATATTGTGTCACAACCCCTGGTATGCCCAAATATGGGAGGGAGCCTACTGCTTCCCTTTTCTGTCTATCGACTCACCCTAGGAGCCATCCAGGCAGAAAGCCATTTTTTTTAATGTTGCCTTTGTTACATTTGTGTTGCATTTCTTTATTTCTTTATTTATCAGCACAGATGCAACATACATACATATATACATACATACACACACATACATACATACACACATATACATACATACATACATACATACATACATACATACATACATAGTGTATGGTTATGTTCTGTTTTATATGCAATGGCTTATGCAAAGGCTGTAATGTGGTAGTAACTTAACACCTAATGAGGTACTGAATTGTTTTCTGATTTCATGGAAAAATAGCTTAAATGCTAAGTCCATTTAAAAATAAAATTAAAGGGGGGATTGGTCAGAAAATGAGTTTTATGTATATGATTTCATCATCTCCTTTTAACAGATACTATTATAAAAGAGAAATTCTTGAGCGTGTAGATGGCCGGAGACTGGTATATAAATTTGGGAAGAATGCCCGTGGCTGGAGAGAAAATGAAAACTAAGTACAACTTTAAAAACAGCTGTAGAAATCTTCACTGACCGGAAATCCTAGCGGATGTAAATATTCCAAAGACTGTTTTCTTCTATTTATGTACAAAAATTGGGGCCTGCAGAAATCTACGTCTAATGGGAAGAAGGAACACTATTGTTTGTTGATGTTATAAGTATTTTATTTGAAATATGTCCTTTTATGGAGAGTATGTACACAGTTTTCTGTGACCTATGATAATACTGTATGTAAATGTATAAGGATGAGTTGCCTTTCTTGTAAAGATTTTAAAGAAAATGAATTCCAAAAGAAATGTGATTTAGCTTAATGCTGCGAGAGGCATTTGCCGTAGTGGGAGCAAATCACAGGGCATTACTTTATATTTAGGTATATCACTGCATTTTAGAGAACTAGGGGTTTATAATATCTGTCTCAGAATTATATGAGATAGGTCTTTCCATTCAAAATATAGAACTTTTTTCAAAGGCTGTCGAGTAGTAACGCACCAATGGTTAATTAAATCAAAGGCTGTTGAGTTATGGCTTCACTTTTTTTTCTTGGTTTTTTTTCTATCCCTTCTTTTATACAATATAATATGGCCATTTACAGTAGCCTGGATCTTTTTGTAGTCCTCCATTTAGAGTTGGGTTTATCAGCTCATTCCATTCCCAAATAATTCTCTGTTGAAATAAGTCCTAGAACATTAGGAATAGTGGATGCTTTATTTATAGGCCTCAATAACTTTAGCTGAACTTCATAACCAATCTTGAATGCTTGTGACTCATCATGAAATCTTAGGTGTCAGCAATATAAAGCTGCCTTTCCCAAACTGGAATCACCCAGGTTTTTGGAACTAGAAACAACTATGCAAACTGGACATTCTTAATTCATTTGCCATGTTGAAGAATTCGTAATAACTAGCAGCAAATATCCACATTTCTGACAGAAGTGACTTACAAGGTCCCTTCCAACTCTGTTAATATGTAACTGTATCTTTATCTGTATCTGCACCAAACTGAACTGAAGATTTTCTGCATCCAAAGCATTTGTTTAGTCGCCTACCTAGCGGATATGAACATAGATTTCTGCGAAGGGTCTTTATTGCTCTGTGAGTTTGCTTGTTTTCTTGCAGACGTTGCATTACCTTAATTAGGTAACTAGGCATTCATGATGTTGCCTAGTTAGGGTAATGAAATATCTTCAAAAACACAAGCAAACTCAGAGACCAACAAGGACCCCTCATTTCATCCCTGAGCTACAAATATTCTCCTTTATTGATATATGTCTATGTGATAATGAAACTGTACTTTGATATTAAGATTTTACGGTACATGTCCCACCATTCAGAAAGCTAATAATCTAAGATTCTGTTTCAGTCTTTCTTCTCTTTCTCCCAAATGCCTAGTTTTTATTTTCTGGGTTGGTGTGGCATATTCAGTCATGTAAGTTCCTTCATGTAAGAAAATGATTCAGTACAAGCATCTTCCAGCCCAAGAGCTACAATTAAAAATGGCTAATGAGCAAATTAAATTTTACCTGTTAGACTTAAATCCAAACTTGTCTGAAACTTAAAGTTTCTGTGTTCTCAAAAATGCCAGTTGAGTGTTTTTTCATAAATATATAAAAATAACTTGTGGAATAGAGCCTATGCTTTTTGTTACAGTAAGAGTTGGTAACTGCGCCTCCAACATTTGATGAAAAATATTCCTAAACAAGGCAGCTAAAAAACACCTTGGCAGCCACAATTCCTGCCACAACTTTTAGCTATCATACATCCATTATAGCTATGTGATATTTGAACTTTGCTTAAGGTGACTGGGGGCAGTTAATCTTATTTACAGAAGAAGCTGGTAACCAGGACAGCAGGTTTCAAAGTAAATCCTTTCTGTTGACTGAATATTTACTGACTCACTGGATGAGATTTTTCTTCAGTTTCTCCCTGTTCTTTATTTTTAAATCAATGAGTCTCCATAATCCAATGACCTTTTTGTGCGGAAATATCACATCTATTGTGTTGGATATGATACTGCCTTGTGCTATTGAGTCAAATCAGTGTTATTGTAGATTATCTATAAGGATATATCTACTTTTTTCACAGTGCAATCTATACTCATAAATAGGTTCTGTTGTCTTATGTCTAAGAATCTGGGTGCAAAATTATAGTCTTAATATCACTGGGGGGGGGTCAAATTAAAAAAATCATGGCATTATTCTTCAACAATATGAGGATTAAAACTCATCTCAGCTGCACACAAAGTGAAGAATACAAACAGCAGTGTAAATGCAGACTTCTCCAAGTTGTTGGCCTTCAGTGCGTCCATGAGTAAATAAAGTCAACAGGATGGCCATGACCACCAGTTCAAAACCCCACCCCCTTTTTATTTGCATTGTGATATACATTTAAAAAGTGCCAGGACTTCAATTGTAAATCAAAGCTAACTTCTTCATTTGTTGACTCTTCTTTTACTAGCATCCTTGGTGTCCTTCATGCATGTTACATTCACCTTATTGAAAAACATCTGGGACTTGCAATTCAATCTAATTGGATACATTAGTCTTTCATGTACTCTAATCGTGGAATCTAATATAAACTTCAGTCCATATTAATTTCTGGTTGCCATTTTAATTTTTATTTATTTGCCCAACTTGTTCTTGCTTTGGAGATTTTGATATTTATGGATGTTGCTATTTTACTATCTCTCAGACAGTGGAGTACCTGCTTATAGGCATTTATCATCCAAAATAAATTTTCCTCTCAGAATTCATGAGTACTACTATAGCAATACATATCTAACTCCTCCTTATTTTGGTGTGGTATATCGTACTAAGTTATATTTGTGCAATATACTTTGATATAGTATATAGATCATATTTATATCACATTGGTAAACTGATGGCCCTTATTTCTTCCCAGACATCCTTGGGAGTTAGAATTTTAAAATCTATAATTAGAGCTTTTTGGAATTGAAAACATGTTTGGAAAAAATACTTTCCTAAAAATGTTTCCCCACTATCCCTGCTCTCTTTAACTTTGGTTCTGTGAATCATAATATAAATTAAAAGTGATCTTTCAACATAGCCTTGATATTAATAAAATAGATTTGAAACATAAGTGTGTGATTAAACCAATAGGTTATAATATGAATTACATTTAGAGTACAATTTTCCAACATTCACAGGTGTATTTATTAATTCCTTGGTATTAACAGAGTTAGATTTTCCCACTTTAAAAATTCAGTTTGTCATTTCGTTCTGAAACTAAATTCACTTTGAAAGGAGACATAGCATAACATTGATCTAGCTAGAAAAAGGACCATAAATATATAAAATGATACCAGCTTGCCATGCACATGCAACCACAGTCAACCATCGTGAACCTTTTACAAATTCTAATTAAAGGATACAATGAAGATGAGTGTAGCAAATTGCTATTTAAATATAAAGGCATTGGTGAGATTGCTTTTTTAATGTTTGCAAAGAACAGTCTTTTTAGAAGTGCATTTCAGATGAATAAGATTTGTACATATTTTTAGGGTGGCATAATTTTTCAAATGTATAAATTTGAATACATTTTGAGTCAGATGTAAAGAGATCTACAAATGCATTGCAGTATTTATATAGATGAACACCAATCACCTGGATAAATTTTTTGCTGATGTATTGTGCAGCGTTGATTAAGAAATAATATGTGCATCATATTGCCTAGTTCTATGGCTTCCTATTCATAATGAATAGTTTGAATGTTTAGCTACTACAAGGTAAGTACCACTGAAATTACAGCCATTGTGTACTTGAAGAGCTCTATACAGAAATCCATATACTTATCATTATAGCTATTTTGTTGATGGAAAACGACTCAAATATCTTTCTAGCATCACCATTTATAAGTTTTCTAGAAGCGCATTGTTGTATGTCAGGTTCAATGAATACCACAGAAATGCTAAGCAAAACAAATTTGTTTGTTTTTTAAAATAATAGTTTAGTAATCATTCAAACTTCCCTCCACAGAAATTGCTTTAGAATGAAATTGTATGCAGTCATCAACATGATTAGTTTTATTGAAAAGTGGGGAATTTAATGGTATCATAATACAGAGGTCTTTCATCAGAACATTTTTTAGAAAGTTGCTTGTATTTGTCAATTGTATGTGTGTGCACGCTTGTGTGTGTGTTTATGATATAATATTTACTGTTAATTTATGGGCTTGCAATTTAAATGAAGCTTGTAATTTATAATAATATGTGCATCTAAGGCATAAAATAAACCAAGCATTGGGGCAGCTCTGATCAGATGTAAAAGGAAGAAATAATGGTACTTGAATTAAATTGAGCAAGTGATACATCCAGTAATCATTTTTCCTTACCATTTTAAATTGCCTCTGCAAAATCAGTTATTTGCTAGTACTAGTACATTTTCTAGGACTGGAAATTAAAAGGTCAAGAAAAGAATAATGGAGAAACTTATGAAGAAGAAAAAGACTGAATGTTATTTATTTTGTTTTCTTGCCCAATTGTGGAATTCTATTGAATAGAAGGATGGGGAAAATTGAAGTGGATCTGCTTCAGTGGTGGGTTGCAGGCGGTATGCCCTGGTACGGGCATACTGGAGCCTGCCTAGAGCACCGGATATCGTTCTGGTACGGTGCTCCGGAGGGTACACCTGCCTGCCCGAGCTCCTTACGGTCTTTTAAGTCTTCGGCACATACAGTGCCTGTGCGACGCTCTGCTGAGCAGCTGTAGTGTCACGGAGGCTTGCGGAAGCAGTAAGATGCATGCGTGCACTGTGCAGGTGCATGTGGCCGCCACCAGGCCCATTCCAGCCGTACCAGTTGGAACAGGATCCGGAACCCACCACTGATCTGCTTACAGATCTTGCTTCTTACTGTCTCCTTTACATTGTTTAATTTTATTGTATTTTTATACTTTCTATGCTCTCATTAACATGACTGTTGCAGTTTCCTGGGGCATTGTGATAACCTTTTATGACTTTCTG